AAGGTTGCCAAAACACCTCACGAGATGTGGACTGGAAAAGTTCCTAATCTAGCCCACATCAAGATTTGGGGTTGCGAGGCTTTCATAAGGCGCGAGACTCACGATAAGCTCGAACCTCGAAGTGAGAGGTGTATTTTCATCGGCTACCCACAGAAATCCTTTGGTTACCTCTTCTACAGACCTAGTGAGAATGTGGTCTTTGTAGTAAGGAGGGCTGTCTTTCGAGAGAGAGAGAGAGAGTTACTAAGCCAAGGAAACAGTGGGAGGCAAATTGACCTTGAATAAATTCAAGAGTCAAGTGGTGAAGGAACCTCAAACCCTAGCAGTCAACCTGAGGAGGAAACTCCTGTTGATCAAATTGACGAGCTTGTACCTCTGAGGCGTTCCACGAGAGTTAGGAATGCACCTGAGCATTACTATGGTTTTCATATTACTGCAGAAGGTGAGACACTTATCAGTGATGAGACACTGGTAAGTCTGGATGAACCTAACAGCTATGCGGAAGCCATGGCAGGCCCCGAGTCTGCTAAATGGAAAGAGGCAATGGACAGCGAGATACAGTCCATGTATGACGATCAAGTTTGGAACTTGGTTGACAATGTACCAGGTCGCAAGACAGTTGGGTGCAAGTGGATCTTCAAGAAGAAGACCGACATGGATGGTAATGTACACACTTATAAGGCGCGACTGGTGGCAAAGGGCTTTTCTCAAACTCCAGGAGTTGATTATGATGAGACCTTTTCACCAGTAGCCAAGATTAAGTCTATTAGGGTATTGTTAGCCATTGCTGCATTTCATGACTATGAAATATGGCAAATGGATGTCAAAACCGCTTTCCTTAATGGAAAGTTGGCTGAGGATGTTTACATGTGTCAGCCAGAGGGTTTTGTTAGTACAGAATACCCTAATAGAGTGTGTATGCTTGAGAAATCCATTTATGGATTAAAGCAAGCACCTCGCAGATGGAATCTTTGCTTTGATGAGAAAGTCAAAGAGTTTGGCTTTTCGAGGAGTGAAGATGAATCTTGTGTATATGTCAAGGCTAGTGGGAGTATAGTTAGATTTTTGGTATTGTATGTGGATGACATACTACTCATAGGAAATGACATCCCGACCTTGCAGGAAGTGAAGTCCTGGCTCGGGAAGTGTTTCGCTATGAAAGACCTAGGAGAAGTTGTCTATATTCTAGGGATAAGGATTCTGAGAGACCGGAGTAAAAGACTAATTGGACTTAGTCAGAGTACATACTTGGATAAGGTGTTGAAGAGGTTCAGCATGCAAGATTCCAAGAAAGGAGAGTTACCCATCCAGAGTAATGCTAGATTGAGTAAGACTCAGAGCCCGAGTACCGAGGCTGAGATAGCAGAAATGAGTCGAGTACCTTATGCTTCTGCTGTAGGCTCGATCATGTATGTTATGACTTGTACTCGTCCTGATGTGGCCTTTGCATTGAGCATGGTCAGCAGGTATCAGGGGAACCCTGGTAAGGCTCACTGGACTGCGGTAAAGAATATCCTTAAGTACCTACGGAGGACTAAGGACTGGGTCCTTATTCTCGGTGGGAGTGATGACTTGAGAGTTGTAGGGTATAGTGATGCTAGCTTCCAAACTAATAGGGATAATTTCCGCTCTCAGTCGGGCTGGGTCTTTACCTTAAATGGAGGAGCAATTACTTGGAAAAGTTCCAAGCAGGAGACAGTGGCTGATTCAACTTGTGAATCAGAGTATATAACGGCAAGCGAGGCAGCAAAGGAGGCAATATGGTTGAAGAACTTCATTGGAGACCTTGGAGTTATACCAGCTATAAAGGAGCCTATGGAAATCTTCTGTGATAGTGAAAGTGCAGTTGCCTTAGCGAAGGAACCAAGGGATCACGGGAGATCCAGACACATTGATAGAAAATTCCATTTCATCAGACATCGTATAGAAGAAGGACTCCTCGTGGCAAAGCGGGTATCATCAGATGAGAACCCGGCAGATCCCCTCACGAAGGGACTGGGCAGGGTTAAGCATCTCCAGCATGCAAGGAGCATAGGGCTGAAGGATGATATTAGTTTTAGTAGTTAGGTGACTTTGAAATTTGTAAAGTGTAATTGATATTTGATGATGAATAAAAGTTGTGTTTATTTATGAGTAAAGTGTTGCTATCTTTTGTCAATCGTTTACTATTATTTCTTTTGCATGTTTTGACTTCCAGAATATTTATGTTGTGTTTTACATATTATTCAAATTATCCACAGTCAGTCATATGTTGGAAGTAGATATGAATTAAGACTGTCATGAGTTGGTTGTAGAGGTCTAAGATGTTGGACATGGCCTCAACACTCATGAGTGCTCATAAGTTCTAAGTATTGGATTCAACCCACGCTCGCTGGTATCACTTCATTGAATTTATCTCGAGTGATCGCGAGACGGTAATATCATATAAGTCTTCAAACCTAGAGATATGTCTCGTTGCCTATGAGTTGGTTATGCATTGATCGTACGAAAACACATTGGTAACTCGATGTTATAAAACGTACTGTTGTGTGTGATTCAACAAGTAGTAGAACAAGCATATGAGTCGAAGTTTATCTGTTCCTTATTGGATTAGAAGCGATATCTGGGCCCCTCGATGATTTTGTTTTGACCTATGTACCGGGCCCGGTCAGAACTAAGTTGATGTGTTCAATTAAGTTCTATGTCAAACAAATCGAAAATCGGGAAACAAACAGCTGGACAATAAGTAAGACATTGTTCCATGTATTTGTCCGGCTGATATCTAGAACAGAGGATTATATGATCACTTATCTTAAATGGCGTATCATCAACTTCTCAGTTCCGAGAGACCTTGAAAAGAGCTACGATTGCTGATCGGTTCCTGAAGTCATACTTGCAGTTATAGTTATTAGACTTATCCAAGTGGGAGACTGTTGGATAAGGTGTCTAAGTCCATAACTATTTCTGGTATGTACTTGACCCGACCCGGCATGACATCATGCATTTGGATAGACTAAATGAGAGAAATAACACTTTTGGTTTATTAATATATTATAAGTTCTAATATATTAATAGTATTATTTAATTAGTATTGATCTAGAATTAATCTAGAATTAATTAAGTGATCAAAAGGAGACTAATTAAATATATGTGTTGATTGTGTAAATCATCCATAACTTGTATAGTGGGCTAAAAGGCTCCATGGGTTATCAAGTTGGACTAAGGTCCATAGGATGCTCCATGGGAGTTACAAACCCATGGGTCATGGAAATGAAGAGCCATGTTACATTAGCGTTTACATGGTGTAACCCTAAATGTAACACACTATATAAAGAACATTTGGTCTACCAAAATCGGCTACACAAGTATTTGCAACAGGGCTAGGTCGATTTTGAAGTGTTCTACATTCTCTCAAAGTCATTCCAAAGCATTTGGTGTTGTGTGAAACATTTGAGGCATCACACTTGGGGTGCTAGGCTCTCAAGGTTTCCAAGGAATCAAATCAACTACAAGGTATGTAATTCTAGCCATCTTTTATGTTTAAAGTTCCCCATGTATACTAGATAGGTTTATGAACCTTGGAAAAAGTATTTTGCATGTATTTTAGACAAACATAGATCCAAGGTTTTCTAGGGTTGCATGTACACTTAGGAGTGTTAGAATGCTCAAAACCCATCAGTAAACACATCCACACGAGGTTTCACTTCATTCGTAATTGTGTTGAAAATGATCAAGTGGAGGAGGATTACATTCCCGGTGAAGAACAAAAGGCAGACATTCTACAAAACCACTAGCTCGAACCAAGTTCAAGGAAATACGGAGCTTGATCGGGATCAAATAAGTCTCTAGAAAGACTTACAGATTCGGGGGTGATTGTTGGAATCCTAAGTCGAGTAGGACTTGGAGACCAAGTAAACTTGGGACTTTGACAAGTATGTTATAGAGTCCTAATACAATTCTATTTAAAAGTTGGTGAATTAGAATATATATATATATATATATATATATATATATATATATATATATATATATATATATATATATATATATATATAGAGAGAGAGAGAGAGAGAGAGAGGTTCAAATGTTTATCACATCTATTGTGTGCTAGATACACCAATAAGAATTTAGTAAAAATTAAATTATTATTTAATCAAATAAATATAGATATTAAATGATTTCCATAATTATATGTATATTAAATGATATCAATAATTATAATTTATTTTTTATGGAAACTAATTAAATTCGTCATTAATGTCAACAATAATATTCTTTTAGAATGACTTCGTATCTAAAAGAATGACATTGTATTCTAACAGAATAAAAGTGTATTCTAGTAGAAGAAACTTTCGTTGTTCATATTCAATGCAAATTTATTATATTTTCAGTGAGTGTGTCCTGAAACAAAATACGAATCCATACATAAAAACCTAGATGCGAATTGATTCTAAAAGAATTTATTGCTGACATTAATGACGAATTTAATTAGTTTCCTTAAAACGAGAATTATAATTATGGATATTATATAATATACATACAATTATGGAAATCATTTAATATTTATCTTTATTTAATTAAATAATTATTTAATTATTAAATTTCTATTGGTGCATTCTAACACACAATAAATATAAAAAACACATTAAGCTAACCATATATATATATATATATATAGATATATATATATATATATATATATATATATATATATATATATATAAACACACACACATCTTGTTTAGTCGATAAGGAGATAAGAGATTGTAATTACAATTTGGTTTCGAGTTATTTTCCAATTAATCGAAGAGAAGTTTGATTACACATTGTTTGCAATTCTCGTTTACTATACTTGTTACAGTACCATTTGTCTAATGAAATGGGTTTGAATAAAGGAAAACTTTTGGTTTCCAAAGATACATGTGTAACAAGGAAAACAAACACATACAAAATAGATTCAAAATTGAGTGTCACATCCTCTGTTATGGATGATTGTTTTGTGTCAATAATGGACGAGAAAACTAAACTAATCCAAAATCTGCATCATTAAAGTTTCAAACAAACAGTATAACAATTATAAGCAATAAAAAAATTGAATAAGGAAAAAAAGATATAAACTTTCAAATTTTGGTCAAATTAGGTTTTGATTTACAAGGTACATTTTTATTAGACAAAAATTCAAAAATGGTCCATGTGGTTTTACGAAATCTGAAGTTTTGTCCCTAATTTTAAAAAACCTCACGGATGGTCCCTGTGGTTTCAAAACTTTTAATGTTTAGTCTTTTCGCCTAACTCCGTTAGCTTTCTACCGTTAAATGAGAGGCTTTTTGGTCATTTCAATACTCATGGACCATTTATGAGGTTTCTCTTATTATCATTATTTTTTATTAAAAAAAAAGTAAAAAAAATGAAATTTAATCTCTCTCTCTCTGTCTCTCTCTCTCCTGTTAAGAAGCATCACCCCAAACATCCTCTATTATTGTTTTGCTCGACCCCTGCTTTCCCTGAAGCCACAACTCCGGTGAGATAAGCTAACAGTCGAGGAAGAAATCCCATCGGAAAAACCGGTTGTAAACCTCTCCACATCCCATCGGGTGCTGAGCAAACCCACGAATCCCCACCTGTTGTGTTGTTTTCGATCTGCTCTTTCCTTCCCTTTCTTCTCCGTTTTTCCTACCAACCTCTCCACCTCCCCTCCATGGCTTCTTGTGTGATGTTGCAGAGCGTCGATATGTACATTTGGGTTTACAATCTGTACAGCAAATCCAATAAAAAAACAACATTTTAGAAGATGATTATTTTTTGGAGCAATCTGTCGAACAGTTGGTGTGTGCAATAGTTACAAACATAGAACCAATGGCCAAAGTGTAACTATTAATTGCAGATTCCATTCCCAAAACCATAAGAAAAATCAGTGAGAAAAAGTAAAATAATCGATTAAACATTTCATTGCCAACAATTAGGTAAATTCGGTCCCAATTGGAATACGATCAAAAATAAATTAACCAGAAAATAATTTAGAAAAATATCAAAATTGAGTAACCTACTTAACCTGTAAGATGCAAATGAACAACTTTTGTGGATTTTAGAATATAAAGAAGACACCTATTTGAAGCGTCGAGTACACAAAAGCATGAGGCAGGTATGACGGCGGCACGCCATATTCCCCGGAATCAGATCAAGTTACTTGCAACATAGAACATTCAGAAAATTGATGTAGTTTAAAATTAGCAGCGCAGAAAATTGATTCTTTTGTGCGACAGCGAATAGGGAAACGATGATGGATGAAAATCGGAGATGAAACGTCAGCTGTCCCGACCACCGTCTCCTACACCAACATCAGCTGTCCTGGACGTCCATTTGACGTCTCGAGGCACTGCCTCCAACGCATAGTGAAGAAGGCATCATCTTCTTGGGTATGATGGAGGGACATCAACTGTCCCAAACTGTTTCTCTAGCTCAAGAGGACCAACATATTGGAATACAAGGTATTACTCACAAGAGATAAGATAGAGATAAAGGGAAACATGAGGCGACAATGGGCAGCAAAATCAAGACGAAGGTGGCGACAAAAGAAAAGAGCGTGGGAAAAGAGAAAGTGACTCACCTTGAGGCGGTTAATTAAGGCGGTGGTAGCAAGCTGCTCACCGGAGAGAGAAGAGTAAATTTCATTTTTTCTTTTTTTTTTTAATAAAATAATAATGATAATAAGAGAAAACCTCATAAATGGTCCCTGTGTATTTTAATGACGAAAATGCTCCTCAGTTAATGGTAGAAAGCTGACGGAGTTAGACGGAAGAACTAAACATTAAAAATTTTGAAACCATAAGGACCACCCGTGAGGTTTTTTAAAATTAGGGACCAAACTTCAGATTCATAAAACCACAAGAACCATTTTTAAAGTTTTGTCTTTTTTAATCACATGCAGAGCTTGAGCCTGCTAATCAACCATAGAGGGAAAGTGAGAGCATCTCTAATCCTTATCATTTAATATTTTTGCCATATCATTATCTAATCCTTTTGATCTCTAATTAAATGGGTTCTCCAATGGTTAAGTTTTTTTCATAGCTTTTTTTTTTATAAATTTAACTTATTGTTCCTTATCTATCTAAAATGTTCATACAACCTCCTCATTTAATTAATAATTTTTAAACATATTATAAGTGAATATGAAATATTTTAAATTAAGATTATCATTAAAAATTAGTATATAAACATTTAATAAATGAAAAACTATGGTAGAAATATTTAAATAATTAAATAAATGAAAAAACATTTAAAACTACAATATAATTAAAGGGGTAAAAATAAAATATGTTAAAAGTAGAACGGGTTAGATGTTTAAAGCTTTATACTATATTGACCATTCAATATATATTGATATATATTGAGTGGTCAATATAAATACACAAAAAGCAATCAACTCCAATCGTGTTAAATGAAAATAAGTGATGAATCAATAAAAAAAACTCTAAAATAAGTCTCCATTGGAGATGCTCTGAGAAGTGACAGGTGTAGCGATGTCAAAAACCCCCGCGGGACCCCGTTCCCGTGGGATCCCGATACCGTACGAGACTAATTTTTAAAAAAATTCGAGAACGGGAGCGGGAGCGGGGGCGATTTTAACTCCCGTTTATTTTCGGGACCGGGGGCGGGAGTGAGTATTTCCGTCCCGTACTCCCGCGGGGGCCCCGTTTATATTTATATAAAAATATATATATTTAATTTAAAATACAAATGGGAAAGGAAATTAGGGCTTTAGCAGTTTATCTTTCCTTGTTCCGTCATTGACTCGTTCATTCTCGTTCAGCGAGTAGGCGACCAGCGACTTCAACTGCGACATGCCGACTTGTCAATTGTCATCGTCTCCAACTCCCACCGGCGACCAGCGAGGTTTATTCAGTGTTTCCGACTTCAGCTTCCTCCTTCCTTCCCGGCGATTGACTCGTTCATTCTTATTCTCGGTCAGCGAGTAGGCGACCAGCGACTTCTCCGACGGTGACTGCGACTTTTCATCGTCTCCAACTCCCACCGGCGACCAGTGAGGTTTATTAAGTGTTTCCGACTTCAGCTTCCTCTTTCCATCCTGTGACCGCTGCCGACCCCTTCTGCATTCCACGGTAATGTCTTTCCTTCTCCATTTGCGTTTCTGTCTTTCCTTCTCCGATTCAATTGACAGTCGATTCTACCACAGTACCACTTGACTGATTTCGATTTCTCAATTAAGGTTTATTTAGTGTTGTTGATTTAGATTTCTCAAACATTAGTGTGGATTAAGATTTATTTTAGTGAACAGATTTCACAGTCTTAATATACTGCTTGCTTTGCTGCTTGCTTGCTGCTATCAATTGTGTTTCTCACCAATTTCTGCTCTATCAATTTCTACCACTTGCTGCTATCAATTTCTGCTGCTTGCAATTAAACTCTTCCTGGTTCATAATTTCATACAGTGTATCTTATCAATGAATTATGTTTAATGATTTCACACAGTTAATAATTTCATAATTTCTGCTGCTATCAGAACTTGATTTAATGATTTATATAGAATAATAGAACTCGATTTATATTGCTGCTTGCTGCTATCAATGAATGAACTACAAGTTTCCTTCTAAAAAAGTAAATTCTTATCAATTTTACACTTATAGTCAACTGTAAATTCTTATCAATTTTACATTTATAGTCATTGATTGTTTGTGTGAACCATTTTCAGATTTTTGTAATTATGTCTTCAGCAGAACCAAGTCAACCTAATGATTCAAACATGGTTAATGATACCGCCAATTCTGCAGTTAACTGTAACGAGAAACAAATTAAATTCACATCTCCAATGTGGCGTCATTTCACCTATGAAGAAGTTAATGGAACCAAAAAGGCTGTTTGTAAGTATTGTAGAAAAGAAATTACTTACACAACCAAAAATGGAACCGAAGGGATGCATTCTCACCATAAGTCATGCAAAATACGAATTGGGCAAAAGAAAATTGATGATTTTCAGAGTCAGTTAACCGGAAAAAAATCTAAGACGAATCAAAGTGGGGGATCAGTTTTAGCAACACATCGGTTTAATTATGACGATTTGCGAACCGATCTTGCTAAAATGATCACAAAACATGATTACCCACTTAGAATTGTTGAACACGAAGGCTTTAGAGATTTTTGTCAAGGGCTCCAACCACCTTTTAGGCCTATTTGTAGAAACACGGCTAGATCTGATGTCATTAAGTTGTACGGTGAGGAAAAGGCAAGGATGATGCATTTTTTGGAGAGTATTCAACGTAGGATTGCAATAACTACCGACATATAATAATTTATTTTATTATTATTTTTGTTATTTGTTTAGGGAGGATATTCGAATGTCAGTGAATGAAGAGTTGAAGGAAATTAATGGATACTGAAGATTTAGTGAATTGGTGTTTTATATTTGTAATTTTGGATTTGTCGTATTTTGCATTTGTAATGTTGGATTTGTCTTCGTAAGATTGTTGGATTTGTCTTTTGTAAGATTGTAAGATTGTTGGAATTGTTGGATTTTTAATTTTTTAGTTTCTAAAATATTAGGTTTTAAGCTTTTAAATTTATTAAAAATAGTATTTTTGCCAAAAACAAAGCAGTTTTTTAGCAAAAAAATCAATTTTAAGTCGGGGAACGGGGGCGGGACCGGGGGCGATGGAGGTAACCGGGGGCGGGACCGGGGGCTGTGTAAACGGGGGATCCGGGGGCGGGGCACCTATATCCGCTCCCGTTTGCCCTCCTTGACATCCCTAGACAGGTGAGAGGCAGTAACGAGATCAATGATCTGGCAGTAGAGAAGAATAGATTCGACAGAGTATTTTAGGGAAAACCCTTGTTCCCAATTGAGCGACTGCAAAACGAATAACACAAATTAGGTTAAATGTCATGCTCAAAAAATCCAATAACCAACAAATTACGCCTTAAATCTGAAAACCCAAGAAGAAACAAAGAAGAGAAATACCTTAAGAGCGTGCGTGCAATACCTTTTTGGGTACCCAAGCGTCGTAGCGATGAATAATGTAAAGGGGGGTGCAGCAATGCAGGGCGAGGTTGCGAAGACTGAAGATCTGGCGATAAGCAGTGGGTTGAGGAGATACATTGGAGTATGGGTTGTGTTTTCAAATGAAAAATGTTCCGAGTTATATGGTGGGAACATAAATTCGACATAGCGGGAATGAAAAATTGGGTGAAGCAGGGAATGAAAATTTAGGAGAGCATGAACCCCGGTTGCTTTGAATGAACCGTCTTGTATAATTTACTAGGTTATAACACGTGGACACCACGGATGAGAAGTTAAAAAAAAATAGTTAAATTATGACTTAATTATTGAGCAATTTAATGAAAATTTTAATAATTAGGAAAGCATAGTTGGTAGATTACCCAAATGGAAATATATATTTTGAGATATGTTCGAAATTTATCATTTTGTGGAATGCAATATAAATTAAAAAAAAAACACAAACATAAATTGATTGAATAATAAAATTGTACAAAGGTTTTATAAATTCCTAAAAACTTCTTTATACACAACATTTGATGTTTTATTTGTAAGTTTACCATCCATATCTAAAATTAACAATTTTAATCCCTCTCTACTTTGAACTCTGGATAAAGCAACGTACAATTGGCCATGTGTAAAAACAGGATCTTTGAGAAATAAACCAACATTCGATAAAGACTGTCCTTGGATCTTATTAATTGTCATTGCAAAACATACAGCCAATGGAAATTGTCTTCTTTGGAAATTGAACGGGATCTTATTTTCGGAAGGAGTTAAAGACATTTTGGAATAAAAGTCCGGTTTCCAGTATTACTTCCAGATATGATAACCGCCTCAATAACACGTTTGCCCAAAGATATAACCTGTAGTCTAGTGCCATTGCATAAGCCATTTTTCTGATCAATGTTTCTCAATAACATAACCGGAACACCGATTTTTAAAATGAGCTTATGGTTTGGAAAACCTGAGACTTTTAGACCATTTAAAACATCAGGTGAGTATAAATTTGCATCAAACTGATCATTAACAAACTCGGATTGGCAGAGGCTATCTGAACTTAAATATTCCTTTTGCTCTCCTGGAAACAATTTTAGCAAACAATCATTTATTTCTTGGACAGCTTCATTCTTGGGAGCAAGTATTGCTCTTTCTTGAAAATAACCCGCAATGTTGAAGTTTTCAAGAATCGAAGGATATACAAACTTGATTAATGAACCTATAGGATCACAAGGATCATTAATAAGAATATCTTTCGGAATTTCAACAATCGCTTCACCATCATTCGGACCACCAAGATTACCTTCTCCTATGTCCAAAAGCCAGTTTGAAAAACCCCTTGTTTCTTCCATAGCAGATGGATCGCTTCCAACAGTCAATCTCATGTTTTTTGTTAATTTATGGACTTTGCATTGTTGCCACAAATGAGAAGAACTCAAAGAAGCATTAACAATGTTTTGTCTACTACCACCTGGAACAACAGGTAGAATTTGTCTGAAATCACCTCCAAAAACAATAACTTTCCCTCCAAATGGAATATTTGAGTTCATTGGATTGACACACTTTAATATATCCTTCAAAGTTCGATCTAAAGCTTCAAATGCATGCTTGTGTACCATGGGTGCTTCATCCCAAATGATCAATGAGGTTTTTCTTACTAAACTTGCGAGATCACTATCTGGATCTATTCTACAAACAAAATCTTCGTTAAGAGTTAGTGGAATTATAAACCTAGAGTGTGTTGTCCTGCCTCCAGTCAATAATAATGAAGCGATCCCACTTGATGCAACATTTAAAACAATCTCACGTTGGGCTCTAATAGCTGTAGAAATTGTCTTCCAAAGAAATGTTTTACCCGTTCCACCATAACCATAAACGAAGAATACACCTCCCTTATTATCTTTAACTGCACCCATGATATCAAGAAAAATATTGCGTTGTTCGTTTGTTAATGCAAGAAACAGCCGATCAAACTCATTCTTTAAAATTGGTATGTCATAATCCAGCTCCTCACTAATAAGACGATTGTTTGCAGATGAAACGGAATCAACATCTGGGTAAGGCATCCTTGTATATATTTTAAGATTGGAATTGTTAGGGAGTAGAATCTGTTCTATCTCAAACAAAGTCAAGTTTTTAAGTTGATCTTCGTTTAATGATAAACCTGTACAAAAAATATTATATTACTAAAAACATATTAAAGAATATTTTAATTGAGATGTAAAATATAATTGAATGTATATTGAAATTTTATATTATAATGTGTTAATAATAATGACATAAAGTTACAATACCTGGAGACTTTAATCTTTGTTGTTGATTGTAAAGAATTCCACCTGACAAGATATCCCATGTGTTTTCCCAAACAATCTCTGGTTTAGACAAACTATTGGACAATAACATCGTAGCAAATAAGAATCGTAGATAAAAACCAGATCCAGAAAGACTTGCTTCCTTAATTGCATCAATGTATTCTTTGTCATCATCCAAAAGGCCTAGATTATAGCATGCATCTTTGAAAGTAGAACATATTTCACCATTGACTGTGCGAATTTCTTCAAATGATTTTGGACCTTTAACTTTATTTAAAAGAATCCTTAAGAAATATGCTTCGCCTAGCTTAGGTGAAACTGAATGAATTCTACCAATCGTATATCCAATTTCCCTTGGCTTCCAAATAAGAAGATTAGATTTCCAAACAAATTTTGTAGGAAATTCAACATATGTAAGTTTCCTAGCTTCTTTGTTAATTTCATTACACTTCATCCAACCGGTGAACATTGAAGAAACAATTGAAGGCTTGTTAAGAACATTTTCAATATCGTCGTCAGCCTCATATACAACTTGTTGTTGACCAGGAAGATGAAAAGGTAGCCTAATGACAGCAGGATACCTATAATGAACATCGTATTTAAAAATACGACATGACGCTTCACATGCAGATATATATCTACAATCATAGTATTCTTTTATTTCATCCACTGCATCGGTGTTATCAGAATCATTATCGCTTTGCACCATAGTAACAGTAGCTCTATCAGGACCCTTGTTTATATATTTAAATAAATACTTTATGGAAGATCCTTGATTGCACCATTGAACATTAATGTGTGTCTGATATCTTTTCAAGAGATATTTGTTGTATAGAACAACATTCCTGTTATCTAACTAAACACCAGATTTTTCAACAAGATATCCATCGTTTCTTCTCCTATATAAGGGAAAACCATTGTCATCAACTGAAGTATGATTGCAGAATTGCTTTGGAAAGTTTTTAGAACACTTTTTGTCCACCATGCATGGGCAATTCATATTTTCAGCTCCACAAGGACCATGAATCATGAACTCCTTGACAAGTGAATACAATTCTGGATCTTCATCGATATTTGCAATTTTAGCAGAAATAATCGGATCGATATATTCAACAGTAGGAAGTTTGCAATCAGCATGTATAAACAGACATATATGACTATGAGGCAAACCTCTCTTTTGAAATTCAATCGTATAAACCACTGCATGTAAAACATTAAAATAAGGCAAAAGTTAGCAACTAAAATATATTTAATAACTATTAAGAAACATAATTTAAAATTAATTTAGGACTTGTATATTATTATATATAAATTTAAATTTATATGTTTAAATATAAATTTAAATACCTGCTTGAACCTTCCCGAAAATTTCATTTTCCCTTAAATCTTTAATAAATGCATCAAGCTTGATCTTAAATAACCTACATAAGATATCCGGTCTATCTTCTGGACTAAGTGATGTGTACTTAAGAAACCTTTTAACTTCTGGCCATTTTGGATTACACGTAAAGGTTATGAAAAAATCTGGATATCCGAACCATTTACAGAGCGACATGGCGTCCAAATAGTTTTGCATCATATAGCGCGCACCACCGGTAAATGAAGAAGGTAAGATGACACGTTGTACGACATTGGAAATATCTGTATTCCCATCAGCTTGTTGGCTACGCAAATTCTCATAAGACGTACATCTCAGAATTTTTTGTTGATTACGAATGAAATATAATCTCTCACTTTCAATCATTGTATAACCATCTACCAAAAATTGTTGGAACAACCTTTTTGCATTTACGATTAGTGAGAACGAATGATCCCTGTCCTGAATTCTGTAAGCAAAAAATTCTCTCATTGTACAGGTTGTCCGCTTGCTGTTGCTAGAAGATGTAACACCTCTATGAAGGATGTCAACTCTGTAACCATCATCTCCGTATGGAAATAGTAATGGATACTGAAGAGCAAGGTAAGAAGGATGCAATTCACTAATACGTTGTAGTAATCCTGAGGAAGTTTGAACAACGATATCTCTTTTTTCAATCGATTCACAAAAGTCACCGACAATTAATGATGCAACCTCGGAAGAAGTTGGTAAGTTATACGTCCTTCCATCTTGTTCTCTTTTTCCAATTAACCTTAATTTATAATCAACATGAGGATTTGAATGAATGCAATCTCTTGCCATCCTATAACACTTAACCAACTCATTATTTGAATCTAGCATAACCTTCAAAAATTATATAATTTGAAAATCATATGCAGTTGAAGTTGAAGTAGAAGCGTTCATTGGTCCACTGAAAAGATTATAATGAAATAAATAAATAAATATGTATATAATATAAGTAAAAGAATAAATAAATGAAATGAATTGAATTAGTAAACTTTAGTTATAGTATATACTTGTTGATCTATTTGAATTCTCGTTCTCCGTATCATATATGTATAATTGACAAAATATTGGTCTTGATCCATCTGCTAGCAAAAGACTACCCATATTGTGGTAGTTTTGACCACTAAGTCTGAATATGTACGGAGCGTTGCCTTTGTTAATGGATGAATCAACTTTGCCTCCCATCGATGTAAATGAAAACATCGAATTGTAACGACGAATGTTCTTGATGAAGTGTTTGCTTTTTGAATCTATCGACTGATAAAGATTTTGGTAAGATGACGGAGCTTCTTTTAAAGGTGGTAGCTCAACTTTTCCATAGCCACAACATAGGGAATAAGATGCATTCTCTTTTTTTTTTTTGCCTCTAACCGATTCATCTTTCCATAGTTTTGCATGACAAATCTGACATATAACTCCATGATCCAAGTAATCTGTTGAATATGATAAAGAAATTAAAATTTCTAAATATAATTAAAGTTTTAAAAAATTAATAATAGCAAATTTTTAAGAAATATAATCACCTATTGATGTACCGCGACAAACATCATCAATAATTTGCTCAGCATTATTTCTTCATCTAATGTCAAGTCAAACAAAGGTATATCAGATATACGTGTAGTCTTCCTTTTTAACCGATGTTTTCCTGTTGGTAACTTGATTGATGAAGATTTTTGAATGATGCCCGAACGACCGGTGGATGTCATACCAATAGAAAACAATGATTTATCATTGTTAATAGATATCGGTGTTTGAATGTTATTATGGAAACTATAATTTCCTGAAAAAATCAAAATACAAATTACAACGTTAGGAATTTTTATAAATTATATAAATGTGAAAGATATATTTTAAAATTTGACTATATAAAAATGCATACCATTTGAAATGTTGGAAAGGGGAGTTCTAACATTTGTATTTGTAGAAGGAGAATGAATAGTTTTATCTTGATATACAAATGATCTGACTGAGTTTATATTTTCTTTATCTGACGTAACATTTCTGTAGTTATCTATAGATTCTGGATGACGACGACGATTGTAGATGTCTGTTATGTAAAGAGAAAAAAAGATAGTTAATAATAAAACAAATAATATTAACTTTTTAAAAGAGAATAAATTTAAGAATATATATAATTTATATAAATTTTATAGTCAAAAAATATTTTTAAAATAAACAAATAACAATACCGTTATTCGACATGTAAGAAACATGTGTAGTAGAAGATATTTGACGGGTAGATGTGTTAGAAGTTTTTGTTGATTTTCTATTATCCAAATATAACTTTCTAAATTTTCTCCTCTCTTTAGCGTTAGTAGATCTTGTAGTGTTAATTGAACCAGTAAAATAAAAGTAAATAATTTAGGGAAATTTTTTTATATAATTTGAAATAATATGCTATTTTATAAAAGTCCTTTATTTCTTTTTAATAAGTATGAACAACAGATTAAAAACATGTAAAAGTAAGTAAGAATATTACTGTTTTGGCTAAAATGAATAGCATGTGCAATAGGTATACGTTGAGACAATTCCACGGTAATGTTTTTTTTCGATTTTTTATTATCCAAGTATAACTTTCTCTTTTTTCTTCTTTCTCTAGCGTATGTGGCATCCATATTCTTGTTCGATATATAATAAAAATAATAAAATAAAGTTAAAAATAAGATTAATAATTTGATATATATATATATATATATATATATATATATATATATATATATATATATATATATATATAATAAAATAAAATGTTTAACAAATTTCATTGGTATTTAAGAAAGTGTTTATGAATAAATCAATAAAAATACATTGGAAATATTAAAAATATCATTTTAATGATTTTAATGATTATTCAGCATTTTTAATTTATAAAAAAACCCACCTAACCCTTATTGATAATCCCAAAACGTTCCCCTTCCCCTTTTGTCTGTAAGAAAAACGCTCAAACACAAAATCAGACCTAGACTTACGATTATATACACATTTCCACAACCACCAATCGATTTGTGAATGGGTATGAAGGTTTATCCATTTATATCGATGAACGAATATAGTAATACTCAACCGATTAGAAATGTGAAGTGAAGAAAATCCTATATTGAGTAAATCCCGATGTCGAACTCAGAGACTGCTTAAATGCAACTTTCGCGTTTGAAGAAAGGAAGATCGAAGGTAAGAGATGATGAATTCATTGTTTATCGTGGTTTTTTTTAACAGAAAAATTATTCACACACGAAGAATTTTTACCTGATTTTTTTTCTTCCAGAAATGTTGAATACGAAGATATAAGCGAAAACTGAAGCCGTTCAAAATAATACCATCACAGTCGTTAAAAGCGGAAACACAATCAGGTATATATGATTTTCGTTCAAAATTTGAAATTGAAGTATTTGTTTAAACATTCGAATTTTGAATTAGCATTATTTTAGGAATCATTTGTGTGAATGATTATTCAGGGGATCATATGAGTAAATAAAAGATTTACTTTATTTGATATACATTCTTAATTATATGACATTTGTATATCTGTATATTAAGGTCTTCAATTTTATGTATATATGTTTAAACGTAAATGTACATTGACTGTTAACAAATATGTGTTTCAAAAAGACTATTAGATATTTCAATTATATAAAAATATGAAATTGAATGAACTAAACACTCATCATCGATGATGAGTGTTTAAAAGTAATGTGATTTTATTTATCTTTTACATTCATTGTCAATGGTTACAAAACACTCCCTGACTTTTTCTCCCCATATACTGCACCCATTTTTAGAAATCAAGTGCCACCAAACATGTAATTCTCCATGTGTTTTATTTAATACCTTTAATATCAATTCCTCTATTAAATTAAAAATTCCAAAGACTATAGATCAAGGAGAGAAAACTGAAGACAAATGGACTACAAACTGCTTATTGTGTCTTATTTTAAAATCCAAAACTCGAAATACAGATTGGAGTTTGATCATATAACTGAGGTTTTCACAGAAATGAAGCAATAACTGATGTCAGCAGGCCCTAAATTCTCGTTAGGTTTCTTAAGTACAATTTTGTGCTGACATCTATCATGTTTATAGTCCATGTTTTAGATCTGTTGTGTTTCCTCTTACGGGTCATTTTCTGTAGAATTAACCGATTAATTTTATTTCTTATCCGATGGATATGGGGAGTGCATTGGAAACATTGTTTGGGCAAGCTTATGGTGCAAAACAGTATCATATGTTTGGTGTACACTTGCAAAGATCCATGGCAATACTGATGCTAATTTATATCATATGGTAATGGCTTCTGAATAAAAAGTACACTATAACAGTTCATTTGGACGAAAATACCCCTGTCATGAAAACTGATGTAGGAGGGTCCCAATCATATATTGTTTAGACAACAATAGGGTCAACACCCCACATCATCAACTGGATGTTTTCTGTGTGATGTGGGAATGGCTGCCACATCAGATACATGACACAAAATATGTTTATGGATTCCTATTCTAAAGAAAGAAAATGTTTTTTTTAATTTGTTTATTATTAATTTACAGAATCCTGAGCCTGAAAAAAGCTTGGCGCATGTTTTGGTTAGAACATCTAACACCAGAACCCACATCATCAACTCCATTCCGGGGTTTTCTTCGGTAAAGGTTGGGTTTGAAAGAAGCTGGAACGGATTTAGGATCATCAATTTTTAGCTTTGGATGTAGAAATCGCAGAGTGGTAAGGTTTCTTAAAATAAGAATCCAGAAAGTTATATATGTTTGCAGTTATATAGGATCATCATTATTTTTTTACATTAAGTCCTTTAAAAAAACAATACAATGGGTTTCTTTAAAATATGAATAAGAGGTGTTATAAAATCAGTATGAAAACTTTGCCAGAGCATCAATAGATATAAGAAAACTTTGCTTTTACTTAAAACATATAAAATTCTTTCAACCCATAGTTTATGAACTATGAACTTATTCAACATATGATAACATAAAATTCTTTCAGCCCATAAACTTTACATATAATAATCTCATGAATTTTATTATCATTTATTTACTATAAATTTGGACATTATTCCAAAACCATAAGTGAATTAAATAACAAAATGTAACATAATAAAAAAATATCATTAAAAAAACAATAATCCCCAACAAATGTATCAAACTTAAAAAACAGAATGTCACATAATGAAAAATAAAATGCATAATCATTATTTAAAAATCATAATCCACTACTTTACGAAACTTCAACTTATAATAAAAACTTAACCATTTTTTTCCAACTTTACCTTCACTACTAACTGGTTAATGCGTCCTTCTGGAGATATCTTAGGAGTTTTTGATAATAATAATTTTTCATTTAACTCCAAATCAAATACTTCTTCGAGATTTCTCTTCAAAACTGTTGGTGTATTCAAACCCTTCATAAGACTTGTTGCTGAGTTTTTATCAACAGTGATAGGTGTTATGTTGTCGTCCGTACCAGATATTGCATCCTAAACAAAAAATAATTGTACTTAATTAATTTATAAAGTGAAGTAATATTTATAACATAATTATATGCAATTATAATGTGTATATAACCTTCAAAATCCTATTATCTTGTGTTTCAGTATCGGCTTCACCAATATCAAATGACTGTGAATTACCTACCTGCATAATAAATAATAAAAATATGAACATATATAATATTAATAAATAAAATAATGATAATAATAATAATACATACTAATATTATATTATAACAATAATAAATAAAATAATGACCCGTGAGTTGGTAAACTTATTTTCCAGTTCTTCAATCAACTTTTCATCATCACTGACTCTACATATACCGTATTGGTTGTTCTTTTTCGAGACATTGAAGCGATTGATTGATATTTTAAAAGCCAACTTCAAACCTTTAAGTGCATTTATCTCTCCGGGATACAAATGAGTACTAAAACCAAGCTACAATACAAAAAATTAAAAAAAGTGTAGTTAAAGTATTTCTAATTAAGTAAATGTATTAATTAAATTTAATTAAGGTGCACCACCTTGACTGCTTTATCAAACAGTTCTTTCGCTGATTTCTTCAAAAGATACTTTCCATCTCTTTCAAACATGGTTAGGGTAATAGTACCGGTATTGTCTTGAACACGTACCTGAATCATAAATCTATAAAAAATGAAAATCAAAAATAATATTTATATATACGAAATATAATATAGGTTTTACTGATTTAGAATGAAATTAATAACCTTGGAACGCCTGAAGTTTCGGTTTTTGTGCACTCATTATTATGACATTCATAACCTCCAAGTGATCCATCAAAATCAGGCTTCTCGTCTGCACCTGGAGGCCGAATTGCTCTGTAGTTGCAATTTGAACATGCCAAATAATGCCATTGTTCATTTTGTAGAATTCCCTTTATAGTGCCCACGATAATGAAATAATTTTTCTGCATATTAATTGTATTTTGATAATTCAATATACATAACATAAAAGTAGGCTTATATTGATTATAAGAAATTGTATATGAAACACACATCTACGGGTTCCGAAACATCAGCAATAGTCTTCAACTGAAACTTAACCATGAAATCATCATGTTCAGAAACTTTATTAGACTTCATGAGTGTGAATGTATTCGCGGATGAATCAGGACGATCATCTCCATCCAAACTGTTAGTTAAAAACAACTAACTAATATTACACATATAAAAGTTAATTGTAGAAATTAAAATGAAATAACATAAATTAAGTAATATCAATCACATAATAGTTAATTATACAAATTATAATTATAATTGTATAACATATATTACCTTTTCTTAAAAACATTGATTTCATCAATGTCAGTGTTAATGAACAACTTTGACACAGAAAAGTAGGTGTTAACCGTGGGACGATCTATAAAATAGATGTAACAAAGTGTTAATTAAATGATAATAGAATAATGTTTAATAAGAAAATCATAGACTATACCTCTCCAAATACTAAGTTTTGCAAATTGAAGGATAACAATGATATGAAGATTGTGTGGATTGTTATCAATAAAGTGTTGCATTTTGTAAGCAAAATCACCCCACAAATTGACACTCAATTGCAAACCACTGAAAAAAAAATTGTTAAATTAAATGAAATGAATATTATATAAATCTAATATCCAAAAATAAAAATGTATTTTAACAAACTTTGTATCTTGGATTTGGATGTTGAGCCTGTGTTTTTTTTATCATTATTGTCTCGCCCCATCTCACCAATTGCAACCACTAATCCAATAACATCTATGAAGAACAACAAATATCAATGAAATATTATTATTAATGTAAAGACATAATAATCTATTCAAACAAAAAAATTGTCCATAATTAATATATGTTTAAGGAAAACTAACCAATAGAAGTGTTTTCAGGATGGACTAATGAGATAATAGACTGATAATCAACAAACTCAAAACCAAATGTATGTCCAGAAAAGTCATGACACTCCGTAACAACAGTGTTATAGAGGAAAGTAAGTTCATGTTCCTGGCGAGTTAACCTGAAACCACCCATCTTTTGGGATGCAAAGCTTGGACATTTTATGTAAAATGCCAAGCCATCTTTTAAAATGTTTTTGAAACGGTAAATGTATTTTTTTAATACATTTGCTTGTATCTTGGTACCCAACATAAATATAATATACAAAAATTATAATTAAATCATATTACATTTGAATGACTAAGGAATATATAATGGTAAGTTGTAAGATACCTGTTCATCTATCAAGATCAATTCAATAGAGAAAAGTTCATAATTGTTATAGAATGAAGAAAGGTTCCATAGGTTTATCACTCTGACTTTGATAGTTGAATAATCTTTGAGTACATCCAAATCTGCAATGAAAGTAACATTTGCCTGCGACATTGATCTGAAAAGAATGTATAAAATATGAACTTAGACGTTAAAACAAACAAATAACAGATATAAGATGAATTAAAAAATAATAATAAGTATGATGCTAAAATAAACAAATAAAATGTGAAAGACTACAGTTGTAAACTTGTAGAGAAATTTGAGACCGGACACAATGACAGGAAAAAAAGAGAACAAAAATATACAAAAAAAAAAATGAAACCGATGTGCAGTTATTGTTAAAAGAAACAATTTAGAGTTTGAACACAAATGATAGAAATAAAAGAGAGTAAAAATAAATGAAAAAATAGAAACCGATGTACATTTTAAGTTATAAGAAACGCATTAGAGTTCAACACAAACACAACAAAAAAGAGAACAAAAAAATATGATAAAAAAACTGATGTGCAGTTTGATGTTAAACAAATAAAAACTGAAACGGATGTGCAGTTTATGTTAAAAGAAACAATTCAGAGTTTGAACACAAATGATAGAAATAAAAGAGAACAAAAAGAAACAATTCAGAAATAAAAGAGAACCTCAAATTCGTGGTAAAGATGATTACCACACATCAATAAAAATATACAAAAAAATTGAAACCGATGTGCAGTTTATGTTAAAAGAAACAATTCAGAGTTTGAACACAAATGATAGAAATAAAAGAGAACAAAAATATATGAAAAAATAGAAACCGATGTACAATTTATGTTATAAGAAACGGATTAGAGTTTCAACACAAACACAACAAAAAAGAGAACAAAAAAATATGAAAAAATAAACGATGTGCGGTTTGATGTTAAAAAAAACTATGTATTACTAACCTTTAAGAAATGTGGTAGATCAGAGCAGAGAATTTCACTCAAATTCGATGGCAGAGTAGAGCAGTAGAAAATGTTGTTCAATTCGATGGCTTGATATAAATATGGAGATTTTATTCCTGATTTTGTGGATTTGTTTAGTGGGTAATTGATTTAAATTTCAAAATCGGTAGAGAAGATATGAGATGAAAATAGTTGGAAGAAAAAATAAGAACGAATTTGCAGTATACATAAATAAAGTTGTTTTTGAGTCAACGATATGGTATAGATTTGCTGATTTACAGGGGGTGATAATGTCGATTGTTATGTTTTTAGTTAATTGATTAATTGATTTGTACAATCAACAATTGAAATTCGTCTACTGTTTATTGATTGATTGCGTAATATGAAAAATAATATTCCTGATTTACAGGAGGTGATAACATAGATTATTGATTTGCATAATACATATTCCATAAATATAGGACTGATTATAGTTTTTTTTGCAGGTAAGTTTATATGGATTCGCTGATTTATAGGAGATGATAGTTTCAAATTTGTGGTGATATAAAAGAGCGGGAGTTTCAGGCAAAACACAAAGCTGGTAACGACACGTGGCAAAACAGAGGTGTAAAAGAATGCCATGTGGCGTCCAAAGGTTTCTTTATTAAGAATAGAGATTTTTTTAAATAAAGCCCCGTTCACGAATTAGGCATCGGGTTAAATGTTGTTAAAAAACTAATTGCAGCAAATTAAACTCGTTTTTTTAAGAAACCGGGGGTTATATACAGTGGGTTTTATTACTCGTTTTGTAGTATTGGTTCACGTGGATACTAACATGGTATTTTGGCTCCTGTAGGTTTTTTTGTTGGCAATTTAGCTTTTCAGATGATGTAGTTCTTCGTATTGCTGATTGTATTTTGCTTTTGTTTGGAGTCCTAGGTGTTATACCATTTCTAATGGTATTGCTATGTGGGTGACATCAGTAATTAATGAGCAATAATAAGAGAATACAAATCTGGCGATGAGATTGGTTTCAGAAACAGACCGAACCCAAAAGAAACTGAAAAACCGAAAACCGATTTCATAGAACTTGAGGAGTCGGTAACCGAACCGAGGAGTAGTTTACGTTTCCATATCCAAAAAGAAACTGTATTTGGGTATTCATATTGTGTGAGAATCCTTATGACAATATGATGGTGTAAGAATAGAAAACTGTAGACCTTAATGACAATATGATGGCGTAAACAAATACACGATCGATCCCTTTCTACTGGTTTTAACAGTTTCCATTTGGCTTTTCTTTTGTTTAAAATATGCATATATAGTTTTCAGATTTAACTTTGAGTTTTCTATTATTATTAATACTATTGACTACTGTGAGTGGTCTTCAAAAATTACAGCCGTCTAAACTCAACGTTCTTTTAATCTCGTCCGCATAAACTCGATTTTGGAGGTTTTTTGCAGTTCATCGGCTCCCGTCGATCCCTCTTATTCGGTAACTGCTACGATCACGTCGTTACTTCAGCAGTTAATCGGAGGTTACTTCAGCCTTCCGTCTTCAGGTCCCCCACGATTCCTCCCATCGTTCAATCGGTTTTGGGAATGTCCGATCGGCTTTCGGAAATGCAATGGGTGGTCTCCGTGGAGGAAGCAACCTAGCATCCTGGGTAGTGGCCGGAACCCTAGCCTACTTTCTATGGGTGAAGCCAGCACAAGAGCTGAAACGAGAACAAGAAGTAAAATTCCCAACTCTTTCTTCTTTCTCTTTCTAATTGAAATTCATACTAATTCGCAATTGCTGATTGGTTCTGTGTAGGCGAGGACAGCACTTGCAGTAGCATCAGATCGTTATCGATATGTGGAGAAAGTAAAAGAGCTAGAAGCCATCACCAACATTATTTCCCGTTTTCTTCTACCTCATGGGGCTCGCACGATCACTAACATGCCTCTCCCGCTGATCAAGCTTCTCATGACGATACCCATTGGGTTTGATTTTAAGGTTTTCTTTTATGTATCTTATTGTCTCTATGTTTTGATTATTATCCCCAGTCTAAAATTCCTGTTGAATAACAATTATCCTCATAATGTTCTGTAACGGTTTTTTCCTTTGATTTCATTATTGGCTTTTAATTTTAGACTCTGTTGCTTAATTTGATGTCAAAGATGGATATATAAAGTTGTCTCTTAATTTGATGTCAATAGGGAAGCCGATTTATTGAAGCTTTACATGATGCATTTCATCCCCTTAAATAGATTTACATGATGCATTTTTATATTTGCTATGGCGGAACATTATCCTCATAATGTTCTGTAACAAGTACATGAGATTAGATTCTGCAGCTATGAGGGCATTGAATGTTATGGAAAGTAAGACGGATACCAACAAGAATTTTAGTCTTTTTGGTCTTACGAACAGAACATGTACAGCTAGCTTGGGTAGACGGTTACTTCATTTATGGAAAAAACAACCTTTGTTAGATGTGACAGAGATTAATAAAATACTAGATTTGGTTCAAGCTTTTGTGGAGGATACTGGTTTTCGTCAGGTTTTGAGGCAACATCTGAAAAGAATAGCTACTATTGAGCGATTAATGCGGATTATTCAGAAAAGAAGAGCTGGTTTGTTACATGTTGTCAAGCTTTATCAGGTGATTAGTGTTTAGATTTTAGTCTCTTTATAAATTTTTAATACTGTGATCATGCTTCATGGGCTGAGTTTTGGATGGTGTAATGAAATAAGTTGAGACACATTGAAATAACTTGAACTAAATTAGTCACATTTTAGTTTGTGTAACAATTGTGAATAATGAGTATATGTTTTACTGTTTTTCTTTATGCAGTCAAGCATCAGAGTTCCATACATCAAAAGTGCACTGGAAGGGTACAATGGTGAATTTGCATCACTGATCAAGGAAAGATACATGGAGCGCCTTAATTTTTGGACTAATGATGAACACATAAACAAGTTCATTGGTCTTGTGGAAGTTTCAGTTGATCTTGATCAACTTGAAAATGGAGAGTACATGATTTCACCTGGTTATGACTCTCAATTATCAGCCCTAAAAGACGAACAAGAATCACTAGAACAACAAATACACAATTTACATAGAAAAACAGGTGATGACCTTGATCGGGCTCTTGACAAGGGTTTAAAGCTGGATAAAGGCACACAATTTGGACATGTTTTTAAAATCACAAAAAAGGAAGAACCAAAAGTGAGAAATAAGCTTGTTGCCCGATTTGTTGTTTTTAAAACCCGAAAAGATGGTGTAAAGTTTACAAATACAAAATTAAAAAAATTAGGAGATAAATACCAAAAGATTCTAGAAGAATATAAAATTTGTCAGAAGGAACTGGTCACCCGAGTTGTTGAAACAACAACTACTTTCTCTGAGATAGCTACACTTTACTGTATCATCTTCCTTCTGTAATGGGCAAAAGGGTCATAAACTAATCTTTTTATACAGGTGTTTGAGGGTTTGGCTATGTTGCTTGCTGAGCTGGATGTCTTGCTTAGTTTTGCTGACCTGGCAGCTAGCAGCCCCACCCCTTATACCACGCCAGAAATCACACCTTCGGTAACAATTTTAGAATTTCCTCTTTTTTGTTTTCTCTTTATGTGGTTGATGATAATCTTTTTAAGGATATGTTTTAATTACGATTTTTCCATTGACAGGATACAAGCGATATTATATTAGAAAACAGTAGACACCCTTGTGTGGAAGCTCAAGATTGGGTGACTTTTATACCAAATGATTGCAAACTTGTAAGATCTCTTGCAATTTAGAGCATATTTCTGGTTATTTAAAAAAGTGGGACTGATTTATTATTTTTATTTTTGGAAAATACTAGGTGAGGGGAGAGAGTTGGTTTCAGATTATAACGAGCCCCAACATGGGTGGAAAATCTACATTTATACGTCAGGTAGGCATTGAGTGAATTTAGTTTTTATTATTTGGTTGGATATATATATATATATATATATATATATATATATATATATATTTGAAATAATGATTTTTTGTAATTTATTTTTACAAGGTTGGTGTGAACATTCTTATGGCACAAGTTGGATGTTTTGTTCCTTTTGATAAAGCTTCTATTTCTATCCATGACTTTATTTTTGCTCGTGTTGGTGCTGGTGACTGTCAGGTAAATTCCCTTTTTTTATAAAATTTAATTTTAGTTGTTTATTATTTTATTGTTAAATAAGTAGGGATCTTTATGCTCATTGGCTGTTCTTTTTTAATATTATATTTAAAGTGGCAGTATGGGTAATGATTTCTTTCTGGATAAAGTGCTGTAGATATAGAATCTGTATCTTTTCGAGTCTGAATGAGACTAAATGACCATTTTACCCTTTAATTTGAAAAAACAAAGTGGTTGAAATTGAAAGGAAAAGAGAATTAAGGCAAATAGATAAAGGATCAGATTAATGTCTTAATACATTAACATAGGTTTTTGGCTCGACATATAAAGTCATTCGGTCCAGATTAAGTCAAAAAGAAACAACCATATATAATTATCCTGATTAAGTGCTTAACCCATTAAGTAAAAAAAGACACAGCCCGTGAATCTTTGAAATATTTTGTTTATTCAGTGATACACAGTTACATGGAGTTTCTACCTTTATGCAAGAAATGCTGGAAACAGCTTCAATTTTAAAAGGTGCAACTGACAAATCACTAATTATTATCGATGAATTGGATCATGGAACTTCAACTTATGATGGATTTGGTTAGTTTCATTTCATGTTTTTTTTTTCCTAGAGTTCTATGCATAAATTCATAAATGATTGATTTATTATATATTATATATATTAATATTAATATTAATTTCAGGTTTGGCTTTGGCTATTTGTGAGCACTTGGTTGAAGTGATAAAAGCAGCTACTCTATTTGCTACTTACTTTCATGAGTTTACCGCATTAGCTCATGAAAACTCTGGTCAAACTCTATTTTGTTTGTCTTTTAAATTGTCATTTCTATATTTGGTGGAATTGGGATAAATGGGGAGAAGGAATTGAGTCAATTCAAATACTCCCCAATACAAACAAAATAGAGTTTGACCAGAGTTTCTATTTCTTGAGTTAAATGCTCCTTTCCTTTTATATTCCCTTTGATTTTTATAAGTTTTTATAATAATAGTGAATTTAATATCGAGAATGAAGATGAAACATAATTTGGCTAAGATATTCTATCTTTGTTACATTAAACTCTTATTAATTGTTTGTTTGCCTTATTATGTTGTTGACAGATATTTTGGCTTCTACAACGATACATGGAGAGCAATGAAAAGTACTAAAATCCATTGGTTTGGTCTTTATATATATATATATATATATATATATATATATATATATAAAAGTAGGTTCATGCGAAAACATAAATATATTGCGAAAACGCGAAAACAGATTTTATCTTATAAAAATCAAACACATGTACTATAAAAAAATAAATTTATTAGCAATAAATTAAAGATAGTAAGTTTACATTGGATTGTGTTATGGTAATAAAGATTTAAAGACGGTTTTAATAATTTTTTTTCACGTCCTTAATCATTTTTAAATTCATGTTTTCATAATAAAAATGTTAAAAATCATACTTTGCTAATATGAAACAATTTCTCATCTATCATCGATTATCATCATGTATTTTAAAGTTTGGATGAACTATTTTCCAAAATATAATGTTGAGGTGACACAATATCATAGGTTTTTCTTGTTTTCGTGTTTTCGCAAATTATTTGCATTTTCGCATGAACCCTCCCCTATATATATATATATATATATATATATATATAATATATATATATATATATTGCATTTTATAAAGTGAAAGGTATTATAAAGTAATTATGTTTGCAAACTTCAAAACTACTTTATAAGAAAAGATAGACTTAATTCCAAGGATAAACAACTTTTACTCGGTTCTTGTGTTATTAGAGTTGTAACTAGAGCATAGAATACATATAAGCCAATAAGTTGAGTGTATGTTGTGTTTTACATCTTTGTAGTACTAAACATGCAAGAATTGGTTTCACATGATTGAATATGGTCGGTCGGTATCTAGAAAGTTTATTAGAGTTCAACTCTTAGTATCAAAGAACATTATCATAGTCAATGAAAATTTGGTCACATTCTTGCACATTAATAGATTACAATGTTGTTTAAGATTAGCTGATTATGTGCGACTATGTTGACTTTCAGGTCTACATTGAATAATATTTCAATTTTTAAGTCGACTTAAAATTGATTGTGTTCTTTATTTTATGTTATGTATGCAACACAATTATAGATATTATTTCAAGATATAGAAAGATAATTGGATAGATTTGTCATGTACATAGCTAATATAGGAACAAATGAAAGAAATATGCTATAAAAATAAGATAAATCAATATATTATTTATACATTTATCAACCTGTCCACCGGATGGATAGGACACTAGTTGTATTTGGGTTTGGTTGAGGGAAAAAAATTGGTTGCGGGAAGAAAAAAGTATTGATAGCGAAGGGAAAGACGTTGGAAACTTGGAATCACTATCAATTGGTAATTAAGTTTAAACCACTATCATTTGGTAAATACTTTTTAAAAGTAGTACACCTTGGTACAAAACTCCGCATTATAGTGGAACAGTCTGTTTGCCTCCTATGGATACAAAGAATTATATTTTAAGATGCACGTTTTCTATGTTGATAAGAACAACCAAGAAAGTGACATTTTATTTATAACATATAAAACTTACACATGCCTACACATAGGCAGACACAAATAACTGTTGAACGTGTTGATAGATCCACATTAGAAATATTTAAAAAAAAGACTCTCTTGCTCATTGTAATGTGCCGTCCAATTCTTCACTAAAGATGGAAAGTAGCGCATCCATTTGTTTTGCAGGTAGGAACACACCAATTTCAATATCAGCATCTGACTCTTTGGAAGCATTAACAGAAATCGAACTATGGTAATCCAGAGATATGGTCTCATGTCTTTTTGGCTTACCCCATCCAAAATCCAAATCGTAGAACTTGATCTTTGGTGATCCCGACACATAAAGCCCTGGCACTGGCATAAATGCTGACTTAAGCAACATCTCGGCATCTTCAATAACTCCATTCTTCTTCTTTAGTGTGTCGCTTAAAGCCTTTGTAAATAATTCGAAAGCAATAAGAAATCCATTGTTGCCTGCTAAGATGGTGCTTTTTATTTTTGATGTCAGAGATGGCCCTATACAGTTACCAAAATAAGTTTGAGGAACAGGTGGCTTGAGGCGGGTCCTCCAATCCACCATACAAGTAAACCTTTCTAGGTCATCCTCTCCCTTCCTTTCTCCAATATGAACATATGATTTGGCTATGCAATGCCACATATAAGCACATGCCACCGAAAAAGATGATATGTATTCCAGATTTGGCAGTTGAGTGGATAACCAGTTCTTTAGCCCATTGATGCGTCCTTGGGTCAAGACAATGGTGGCACGAACTTTATCTGTAGGGCTAACAAGGTGAGGAGGCTGGTATTCCATATTAATAACTGGAAGCCCGGGTATATTTAAGGAGATTTCATCTAAGGAGCTCGGGTATTTAATCACTCTTTCATAAAAAGGTAAAGATCCACTAGCTAAGAAAAACTCATCTGTACCATGTTTAGCAATCGAACTCCACGCTTTGAGGAAATTATACCTTGTGCTCGCATCACAAAGGGAGTGGTGGTTGGTGATCCCAATAGAGAAGCCTGAGTTAGGAAAAAGTGTAACTTGCACTGAAAAAGTTGGGATGATAAGGTAGTCGGATCCTTGTTTTGCACGTCCCAATAGAGGTACAAGTGGATAAAACATGTCACACTTACGAGTATGATTTCCTATAAGATCATTGAAATCAAGAAGACACTCGGCAATGGTAAATGCAACAGAGTCGCCCTCTACATGACGTATTTCAGGTTTTTTTTCAAAACTTGGATTAGGAAATAGAATTAAGTTGCCAGCAAATGGGAAGAAGTGTTGAAGAGTGATTGATAATGAATTTTTGAGGTTTGGCACAATTGTTTCCAAGAAATATTCTTTAGAGTGAATGGAGTCATAAAAGAAAACCTGGTGGACTGGGAAGTAGGATAGCCAAATCATGTCAAAGAAAGGAAGCCGGAGAAACCTCTCCCCAACCGTGCCAGGAGGCGGAGATACTCGGCAATTCTCAAGAACGGTCAGCATACTAGTTCTGGCGTTTGTTTGAATTAGTGGTTTGGATTATGCAAATGTTTCTGTTTGATGGAAATTTATAACCATGACAACCATGAGTTTATTTTTTTTTAATAGAAAATAACTTAACTCGTGAGCTTATTTTTTTAATAGAAAATAATCGTTACAAAATTTGTATAATCTGGATTTTGATCTCAAATAGTAGGTGGACCGATTTACGTATTTTTTTTTTCACAAATAAGGATCAAAATTATAAGGTTTCTTTAAAACTAATTATTTTTATATTTATTGTGATCTTATTGAATTTTTTTCGTTGAATGATGTTTTATTATTAATATTAGGGGACCCGAGCAAAACCGCTACGACAATTAGTTTGTTCTTCGAAATCATGTTCCAAAAAACACGTAATATATTGGTTGATCGAAGGTTAATATTTTGGAATAGTATTAATTAGTGCTTTATTAGATATGCATTTTAGTGTATTGATTGTTTTTGTTTGTGTTATGTGTGTTTTCTCTTCTGTTGGATCCGTTGTACCAAAATATGAGATCAATGAGATACTTTTTCATCTCGTATGGTAATGGCACCCACGCAAAATGTTGATCGTGAATAGATTTTTCTCTCGGAGACATGTCATATTCTAGAAAATACGCACTGAACACAAATTTTATTGGATGGTTTTACATTAGTTGGATGTATATTTCTAGTATATTGATGGAAAGTGAAGAAATTGAAAAAAAGATGTTTGTCGGATGTGTGTTTTAATATATTAATCCTTTATGTGTCTGTTGTATGTGTATAGTTTGCTTTTTGATTGATTTAGATGATCCAAGACCATTTATGGAATGTTTGGTTCGCTTTGTAAAGATTTAACGATTTAGAATATGTCAAAGAAATATGAATTGTAAAATATGTTAAAGACAAAGGAATTGAAATGTGTCAAACGGCTTTCGGGAAATGTAGTGAAATTAAAATTATTTTGTACATTTTTTGTTCTGTGATCATATCAAAATAAAGTTCTTAACTATCTTTTGTTCACCAAAATATTTTATGACTATGGCTAGCTATAAATAAATCAATATACACCGGTATATACATAATCAATACACACATAACGAATTACAAAAATAATTATACAAATATACATTATAAAATTGAAAAAAAAAAAGTTACAATAATGAGAAACAAATGAACTATTTTACTCACAACATATATAGCAATATGGTTATAAGCTAAATTCGATAATTATCAACTTTCATAGTTATTTAGAATCTTACTAAGCTCGGAGGGTAGTCGGAGTTTGTAGGCTACCGGACCGATCCGCGCAAGGATCTCAAATGGTCCAATGTATCGGGGATTTAGTTTATCTCTCTTTCCAAATCGTATCATCCCTTTCGAAGGGGAGACTTTTAATAGCACTCGATCACCCACCTGGAATTCAAGAGGCTTTCGCCTTTTATCTGCATAACTCTTTTGTCGGTCCCGTGATGCTTGGATTCGTGCTCGGATTTGGACTATCTTTTCCGTGGTTGCTCGAATAATCTCAGGTCCAGTGAGCGTGTTGTTGGGCATTTTCCCTTTTGTCAGCTGGTTGTCTCCCACCTCAGCCCAACAGAGGGACGATCTGCACTTCCGGCCATACAAGGCCTCAAAGAGAGCAACTCCTATACTCGTGTCGTAGCTGTTGTTGTATGAGAATTAGATTAGGGGCAGGTGAGTATTCCAAGCTTTTCCAAAGTCTATTACACATTCCCGAAGCATGTCTTCTAGAGTTTGGATGGTTCGCTCGCTTTGGCCATCAGTCTGGGGGTGGTAGGCAGTGCTCATATCAAGTTGGTTTCCCAAAGCTTTCTGGAGCGACTGCCAAAAACGAGAGGTGAATCTAAATCTACAAATCTATGTTAACTACATGAGCAATAAAACCATTGATTGCATTGAAATTTAGACTAAATGATCATTTTATTCATGTATAAGAAATCACAACATTCATCAATATTAACGTTAGATAAGTTAGAAGAAAAAGGTAAGAATGATAGGTAACTGGTTAGTATCTTAATTGTTGGATTAATGTGTCAAAGGTCCTAACTAAATCG